TACAATGGTGTTAAAATGGATTATCAAGATCTCTTATCTCGTCAAATGAAAGGAGGAACATTAAATGTCACATTCTGTTAAATGGTTGAAATAGCCCTTTCATGCCTGTCATCTAAAAGTGTGCCAATTACGAGCTTGACATTACACACACACACACACACACACACACACACACACACACCTTCCACAGCATGTGTTATAGCAGTGGGCAAATTGATTCCCTAAGAACCGAGGCTAATTAGGCGATCTTATGTTGCTGTCCTAGGAATAGTCTCTGCAGGGTACATGGCAAAGTAATGAGAGACTGGTGTGTTTGTGTGCATATGAATGTCAGTTCGGTTAAACGACGTGCAAAGGCATTCCAAATCACATTTAAAGGGTCAGCAAAAACAAATAAAGAGTTCGTGAATGAAATTGTCAATGTCATTTAGAGCGGTACACATACAGTGTCGGGTCACGCGACCTTTGATCACTAAGGTATGTAATGTTGGACAAGGAATTTTCATCATAGTGATTTTGGATTATGGGCAGGGGACGATGTGACCCAACAGATGACGATGTGTTGGAATAAAACACAGTATGGTGCCCTGATATACACGTGACCTGTCTTACAAATTTATCAAGAAACAAGTCATCATTTCGCTGATTTTTTTTTTTCTTGCAAGCAAAAATTTTTGATTTTTTTTTTTTTTTTAAGATGCTGCAAACTCAGTTCACTTGACACCAAGCAGCAGTTCGGCAGATAGTGAACATTTCTTCAATAAACAGAATTTAGTAGACTTTCAGAAGAATTGCACTGGGATTTTGGATCAGGAATAAAATTGTCCTATAGTCGCAGCAAGCATGTGACTGTTCTTCTGCCCTCCACTTTGTAGTTTACCGTAAAACTAACCACATAAAAACAAACAAAAAAAAATACATACATTGTGTATTTAGATATAATAATTTGTTTTCAGTACATCGCCAGTTTAATGCTAGCACTTAATGGAAACCCCCATTGACCGCGGTTAGCAAAAATTAGCATTTGACATCACGGGAGGGATTTACTTTCAAATAATGAATATTCAAACTCAAACACTGTTGAAACATATACAGACAGGTAATGTACCAATATTCACAGATACTCACTCATTGTTCCTAATCTGTGACAAACGATTTATATGAATAAAGTTTGACCCTTTTTTTTCTATTCATTTTACCTTTGTGTAACTGTATCTTCATGCGTGCACCACACCGCCCCCAAGAGGCCAAAGTACATACAGCAGAAATGTACTCATATATTGTTTTGATTACAGTTAGTCTAATAAATCATTTTGCTTTTTAATAATTTATTTTCTGATTGTTCTTATAATTCAGTCGTATTTCATGTAGAGTTTTTTTTCAATTTAATATGGGCTGATTTTTTTTTAAATCAATGAAAAACCGCAATGTCATTATCAATCAAAATTATTTGATTGATATATGATTATTATCCCCCACCACTACAAATCGTCCATCACTAATTGGGCCAGACACACACACACAAAATGGTGTCAATACAAATTGGGTTCTTTATGGCTCGGGTCAAGACTGACCCAAAACATATTACATGTTAAATTTAATTAAATGCTCATTAAACGAAGGTACTGTAATTGAAAGCAAAGACATTGCTTCTTATATGAGACGGGTGCTGTCCCAAAGTCACCAGCTGCTCTCCCTGGTTTGTTTTTAGCTGCCGCCTCGTTAGCGCTGACCGCCAAGCACCGAGAGTCTGAGATGACCAGCTGGAGACCAGTTAAGGTCAGCGGCACCATTTCATCAAATAATAGACACATCATGAAAAGATTGATGCCTGACTTTGAGCTAGGTCGCAACAGGAGGAAAGTGTTTGGCATTTCAATCAATTTTACACCTTCTGTGCGTCAAACGCGTGGTGAGGTGTGCTTAAGATTCATGAATTATAGGCTTAAAGGCAAACTTGGTGTCGGTTTGAACTTACAGGAAGGGAAACTGACTGTGAATGACATCTCTATAAATATGCACTGGTGTTTGAATGTTTAAAACACCGATATGTGTCCATAAGTATTTTGACACTGATGTTTTGTAAAAAATTTTTTTTGAACTCAGTTAACTGATTCTTGACAGTCGCTGGTACCAAACATGGAGCGTAAAAACAGATCAATCAACGGCGATGCATCTGCTAGATACGCTCAAAGCTGAGCTGTAACACTTCCACCTCAGTGTCGTTGGAGCACCGAACAATACCGCACAGGCCTTGAGTGTCACAGACAGCTGCACGTTTCGCCTAATTTCTATTGACTAAATGGCAGAGAGAATACAGGCAGGCAACCCATTGTGAGTCATAAGTGTCATTTTGGTGTCTTGATGACGTGGGTGGATGCGTGGGTGACATCTGGGAAAGATTAGGTGGATAGGGCACCAATGACTGTCTTCACCCAGACCTTTGTCATCCGCTCTGCGTCGACTTAGTTATGGCCGTTGCTAGGAGACCACGGGGATGTTGTGAATTAAACTGAAGAAAAAAAACAACAAAAAAAGAAGAAAGAAAGAAAAAAAAGGGGAGGGGGAACAGTTCTTTGGCACGGAGACACATTACATGTGACTTCTTAATCCCTTGGACACTATGCTGGCCATTTGTGATGTGCTATTTACTGGAGTGAATCATACTCGTTAGGATTTTTGGACAACAGAGCAATTTCATGTCATATTCAAAAAAAAAAAAAACAGTGATTACTGGCTTATTGCATTCCAGCGGATGAAATGAATGATGCAATTTTGATTTTAACACTCATTCATTGCCACTGACAATGGGTGGGGGGAGAGGGCACAACCACCAGTAAATGACATCAATGCCCCCATTTTAGATTGGAGATCAGCAGGTTGTGAGTCCACTGGGAGAATTTGGCTGCAGTTTGTGCAAACTATCTTTTTTTTTTTCTTTCTTTAATCAAACAAAATTACGCAGAGGCAGGTGATCATGTTGCCACCCTACTCTCACATGCAACTACTGCGCACTTTGAGAGCTTGTGGGATCATCGGAGCATTTTGTTCTGGTATTTCCTTTGACTTTTTCCAAAGTGGAAGGTTACGCAGCCTGGAAATGTGAGTCACAGTTTGGCATGGGGAAGAAAAAAAAAAAAAAAAAGAGCAAGCAGAAGACATTACACATTTTCATTTAACTCTCACAGGATAGCACTTTGTTGTTGTTCTCTTTCATTTGGCTGTTTTCAGACTCTCATTTCAGACTGGAAAAAGAGGCAATGTTCGGAAATGTGACCCGAAAGCCAAGCTATTTCCTGTCGCGAGCTGGGAGGATGCTACATGTTAAAGACTATTAGCTGTGACAACACCTGCAGTCTGCAAACAACAGCTGCTAGAATGGTTTGTCATCCACTAGTTTTTTATTTCAGCACAGCTGTAGTCCAGAATGATGAATGGTTGACACACCATTGCTTGACATACTGTATTGTGGCAGGCTTAATCGATCAGTTTAAAAAAAAACAATAATAACAATTTTGGCTAAAAATGCAAACAAGTGAATCATATCAACAAACAAAAAAAAAAGGAATAGGTCACTACAGTTTATACAGTCGTGGCGCACAAAAAGGTTGAAACCCACACAGCCAAGGTTGTCAAAACGTGGTGTAATCAATAGCGCTTAATTTAAAAAAATAATTAAGGTAATCAACAGAGGTCAAGTAATTTGAAACAGGATGCGACATGAACACAGGTAGGAGGGTTGACACCAATAGTGGGAAGGGGTAATGAACACAATTTAAATAGGCGAAAGAATCAACACAGGTACGGAAATAGAAATATGGTTCCGGTATTCAGGACAGGAAGGGAAATCCACACAGGTGAGGTAATCAAAACCAGAAAAATCAAAACAGCTGAGATATTCGAAAAACAGGTGGGATAATCAACAAGGGTAGCGTAATTGAAACTGGTGGCCGAATCAATACAGCTGACCGAAATGACAAAGGTGGGGGAAACCATCCCAAATGAATCTTATTGGGCAGGTGGGGGGAGGGTGGGGTGTAGGTGAAACAACTGATCAAGTTGGAAAATCTTACCACAGGTCGTGATTGATTCAGATGAGACAATGAACACAGTGATGTCACCAATGCAGGCCAGCTGGTGTCGTCATAGAAAAAGATGGGCAAATCAACAACGGCAGACTAATTGAAACAGGTGAAAACATCAAAAGGTAGCAAGTGACACACTTAATTGACAAAGGAAAGGCAATCGAGAAAATAATCACCAGCAAAGAATCTGAATTAGGTGGGGGTCATTCAAAGTGAAGTAATTGACAGGGGACATAAAAACTTGGCAATCAACAAAGACACACAAGTGGAGCATTTAAGACGGGTGGGTAAATCCTCACAGGCGGTGGAATAATAAAGGTGATACCATTAACATAAGTTAGTTGATTGAAATAGGTGGAAAAATCAATACAGGTGAAATTGCATAGACACAGCAAGAAAAACACAATCGGAAACAAAACCTATATGAAGGTGTACAGGTAAAGCAAAAGCAAAAGTAGCACAAAAAAATCAGTTGAATGGAGATCTATCTATATTTAACAGAGCCTAATTATGACGGTAAATCTTGATGTCCCCCCCAGACATTTATCAGGACCTACATTTAGGATTTTTATGGCGGAGGTGAACTAGGCCAAGGAGCCTCTCAGAAAATAGACTGTGGCTCACTTAGGTGCGCTTCCATTTTGGAAACTAGGTGGGAATGAGACAGAAAGTATGGTCATTTATGTTTGAGATTAGTGTGATACATTGCATTAATGCAGCTAATCCTTCTTTCAATTGGTTAGCTGAGCTCCTCTGCCTCCTGGTGGTAACATTTCAAACTGTAATTTCTTATTAAAAACACTAAAAACATTGTGGTAGCAGTTTTTTTTTTGGGGGGGGGGCAGATCGGTGGTCTTTGACCAGTGCACATTACACTGATGTGGCTAGTCAAAAACCAAATAAATGACAATTTCGAAACATCTGCTGAATCTTTATTTACAAACAACATCAACAACAAAAAATGTCAACACGTACAATATGGAGGTGTGTTCAACTCAACAAAGAGGATCAATGGTGAGAAACTGAGGTAAAATCTAACCTGTCAAGAGACTGAAATGTCTTATTGGTATTCTTCATCTTTTAAAGGTGTGGATCTCCCTCCCAAAAAGATGACGCATGATGAAATAAAAGTAGCATATTACACATTACTTGGTGTGGAGAGGGAAATAGTAACAGCAATCTAAATACATTGCATCAAATAACACGAACATGGTTGGGCAATAAGGGATGGTCTGATAAAAATGAAATTGTGGCACAGGCGGGGGTTGGGGGTGAATAAAATCAGGCATCTGAGCAGGCAACAGACGTGCGTGCGGTAAGGCGTCATTAGGAATACTTATAATCACCACTCACAGGTTCCTGTACAAAGTCGTGTAAACACACACACACGCATGACATTTTTCTTTGCTTGGTCGGGAATTCCCAGTCTGCTTCAAAAGGCTGCCACCAGCTTGGATCATACTGGGCGTCTCACACACTTTCTTTCAGGGGTGGGGAACTGTTTTTTTTATCAGGGCCCATTTCAGTTTAATCAAGTTCTCTGACATTATGAAAGAGAGATTTTTGGGATATTTTTATCCTAACAGTTCCACTGAGGTTTTTTTTGGATTGCAACAAACTTTCAAGTGCAGCGGTTCCTTTTTGTCTCCAAAGACTCCCTCATAATTATAACACCGATGAAACTTACTCCTTCTCTAACTATCATGTTGTACCTCCAAATGGCATATTTATTTATTTTTGTGTACTTTATAGTTTAGTCAATTTCGGTTTAGCACCACTTGACGTATTGGAAACAATGCATTGCAAGTACAGAGAACTGCAGCGCATAATGCAGTAATGCCAGATTTATGTCACAATCACATTAGCGTGTTTAATTGGCCCAAAGCTAACAAAGGTAGGAGTAATAAGTTTATGGTATGGACATTTTGGGAAAAAAAAGTTAATACTACATAATAACTGATTACAAATTATTTAGTGGACTCCCCAAAGTGTAAGTGAATCTCGTGGGTTGATTGAGGCTCAAAGGTTTCCCACCCCTGCTTTAGACAATACAGGCTAAATGTATACATTGACTTTAAACTTGTTGTGTGTACTCGCAAACGTTTTTCAAGTATGATACAGAACTGGAAAATTTCCGAATTAAAAACCCTCCCTTTTCAATGCTGGATGGGTAAAAAGTGCTCCTTAAAAGGGACCACTGCTCACTCCTCAGTTGAATCAATATGTTGAGTCACTGTTCTGAAAAACGGAGCAAGAAATAGGCGATATATGATACAGATTTGTTTACGAACTGGCAGCAGGCAGCTACTGCGTTGAGGTCTGAGGACGATGGCTGCAGTCCATGGCAGTTCTTGGGAAAAGGCCTAAAAAAAAAAAAAAAAAAAAAAAAAAAAAAAGCAGAGAGAATGAACTGCTTAAGATGGAGATAGCACTGACCCTCAACATAATATGTGGATGAAAACGCGGTCGGGCTTACATGAAGTAGCAGGAACGGCAAGCCTGGGTGAACTACTTCTGCTTCACGGCGACGCTGTCTTCCTCCTTCAGGACAAACTTTTTCCTTAGAGCTTCGGAGATCAGAGAAGCCGAGTCCTCCTCTCTTAAGGACGTACAGCCTCTGTTATATCTGACGATTAAAACACGCACACACACACATGCATCAGTGACTGTGGCTCTCCTTTCCCACATGCCAGAGCACTACTGCAACTATACTTTTAAAACACATCAAAAAATATGTGAAGATTTTTTTTGTTTTAAAAATAACAACGAGACAGTTTGTACCTGTCTTTGTTCATCTTCATTCGGTTCATGTCCTTCAAGATGTCCATCACGTCGGCAAAACTGGTGGACTTGGACAGCGACACCGTGTCCTCCTCCGCCTCGCGGTAGTCCATGCTGGGCCTGTCAAGGTCAAAGGTGGCCGACGCCGTCATGGAGACCGGCGGCAGGGGGTCGGGGACCAGCTCCGACACCACAGACACCATGTCCTTGTCGTCGTCATCATCTTGCTCCTCCAACTCTTCTTCGTCTTCCTCGGTGACATCGCTGATGACGAAAGAGGCGGCCGCTGCGGCCGCCGGCTGGTAGGGGGCGGTCTCGAAGGGCGCCATAGAAAAGCTCATGGTGGTATCGTCGGGGGAGAGCAGGTCAGGAGTCAAGGGGTTGGAACCTGGAATGAAGCCATGGGGACATTTGCAATACTTTACATTCAATGGCCACAAAAATGTTTCCGGTTGCGTTTTTAATCACGATCCTCATTTTCGGCATTTATCATGGACTTACCAGTATCGCCAGCCACAATCTTTGCAATCTGTGCCCGAAGTCTGCTCAGCTCATCCTGCAGGGCGGTGGTGCGGTTTAGTGCAGTTACCCCGGGTTTCCTCAGGCCCTCCACCCGCTTGCCCTCCCGTCGGAAGTTGGGCACAGACGAGTTCCTGTGTAGCACCAGGAGCGGCGTGGGCCTCCATTCGTGTTTGAGAGGGCGACTGTCACTCCTGGATGGAAGGAAAACTTGAGTGAGTTAAGCTTCTAGTTTGTGCCCTATGTTACCACATGGCTGGTGTATTTCATTCAAAAGATACAAGTTTATTGAATCAACTCTTCATATGATTTGAAAGGAACCCCAGAAAATAAATTTGACAAATTCCTGTAATTGTCTTTACCGCACTCTGGCATACGTCTCCTCTTCATCTGCAACAATCCAGGCAATATCTGCCAAAGTGGGTACCATGGGGCCGTCCATAGGACGAAGAGCGGAAATGCCAGGTAGTTCCTGAGGTTTACAGGTGATATGAATGCATTTTAGATTGTATAAAGCGACTGCATTTCAAGAATGAGTGGTCAATACCTGAAAACACGCCCTTTGTGGGGGCTTGAGTGGGAGAGTGGACCCTATTCTTCTCACCACACTGCGAGTGGATCCATGAGGCTTGTTCTGCCAGATAGGAATAACGTCCTGCAACAAGTAAAGACAAAGAATCAATCTCTGCACATCCATAATCCTTCCACTGGTGAAAAATGCACCTGCCAACCCCATCACGTGCGAAAACGACGTTGCTAATTGATACGGCGTCTGAAAAAGGGCTGCCTTACTGTTTGGGTTTCCATGGTGATGTCTCAGCTTGCCGAGGAGCACCGACGCTTTGGTGCTCTTAGTGGCTCAAGAATGAGCAGTTCACTGAACAGATGCCACGTTAATCTGACAACTCTCGGGATGTAAATTGGAGATTAGTCAGAGCATCTGTTGGGGAGACACAAGCAGAGTTAGAGAAGACACATCATTGCGTTACCCATTATCTTTAACTTTAGAAGAAAGAACTACGAAAATGAGCTCAGGTTGAAAGCTGTTTCATTATGAATTGGTGGATATGACGCGATTGTTGAATGACATGACTTCAACTAATGAAGATAAATTAACAGATTTTCGCTAATTGTGGCAGTGGCACCGTTCACTCTGTATGAATAGTTTGGTCTCTGGAGTACCTGCCAATCCATCAACTTTGAAATTGAAGCAGTAAAGTAATTCTTTAGTTATCCGCCTGCTTTGGGAACTGTTTCAGTCGCCCGGTTTACACTGAGCCATGTATTCATATTTCAATGTATCCCAATGACCAAATGGAATGAAAATGCTCCATATTAAAAAAAAAAAAAAAAAAACTGCATCCGGTCAGTCGTGATGTCACCATATACGCACACTGAAATAGCAGCATCTCACCAGAGCTTGTCTGAGATGGGAAAATTTGTTTTGAAGTATTTTTAACTTATTTTTTATCAAGCTGTTGTTTGATTAAAGTGTAAAAACTATCACAACTACTAGGCAAAAAAGACAAAATCACGGCATCTTGATCAATCACTTGAGGTTTACATCAATCTCCGCATGTCACATGGCTGATCTGATTAACTGAGGGGAGCATGTAAAAGAGAGGATCGGAAAAGATCACACGTCACATGTAAACAGGTGACCAGAAATCTTCATTGGGAATGATTTCAATTAGATTGACAAAAAAGTCTGTGTAACTCGGCTAGAGACAGTAACTTGGCCGTCATTTGTAACGGCATTTGTATTCGCCACGGAGCTGGCAGGATGAAAAGTGGGACCACGGACGTCTCACGTATGACTTGGTCGTCCTCTCAAAACAAGCTCATTTCAGTATGACAAAAGCAAACGTGTAAAAAAAATGCTATCGTTCTTGACCTTAGAATATTTTTAGGAAGGACAAAATCACAGTCTTTTTGGAGTCGTTAATTCAATGAAAAAAAATAACCATACACTCGTCATGTCGTGACGTCACCGTTTACACACTCTTCAGAAAATTCACTCTATTACGAGGATAACAAGAAGAAAGATGCCAAAGTGCATAAGTGAAGAAAGCGTCACTGAATTATTAGCACCGGCGGCTAACTAAAGGTATATCAAATATACACACAAGGCCGTGTCGGTAAAACAGACGATGACCGTGAAAGTATGCCCGATTTCCCGGGGGTTCCGTTAGAGGAAACTAAAAACAAGAAAACGTAACTTACGCCAAACGAAAGCTGGGAGGTTCCAATGGGTGGATTTTGTTTGAAACGTAGTTTCTCCTTTTCGTCTTTCACAGTTGTGTGTTATTGTTCATTGCCGGAGGCCGGTACTCAATTTCCGCTGACGGATTGAGATAATTTTGTATCATGGCGCCCCTACAGGTAGCGGCGGACAGTCTTTGATTAAAGTTGTTTTCCCCCAATTACATTTTACGGCATTTTAATTTTAAAATTAGTCGTGGTTGGAATTTCTAAAAAAAAATACCGAAGACACTGTTAAAAATTGCAGAAAGAGAAAGTCGCTGTTTCGACTATCTTTCATTTCTGATAGTCCAAGATGACTCCCTCGACCATACTTCCGCTTTTACAGGAAGTCGGCCCTGAAAGGGAGAAATTTGGATTCTTTTTAAATTAGCCAGTGGGCGGACCGTGAACGCAGCTGTGCCTTGTGTGTGACGATATCATAACATTTGAGGACGGTAGCCGTCGGCATCTCTCAGCGAGTGACCGGTATGTGAAAGCCAACCTCTATGCTCGATTCACCCGTTCAGAAGTTGCTGTGTTGTTATACATCAGGTCCATTGGTGCTTGTCAGACTCAAATGCCTCGTATAGTTCTGTACTTCCCCTGACGACACTCGACAGCACTTCCTGGAAGAACACTGATTATTTGCATGGGTGTGCGTTGTCATAGAACGCTAGACTGGTCAAACAAATCACCACCCGCGATAAAGGCTGCAGGCCTTGGGAATTCTGCATTCCTGTGCTGTGATTTGATCAAACAGTCCTGTGCAACGTAACATTCATGTCGGCGTGTAGCTCTTAGGGGTAGTTGAATGCATTTAGAGTAGCCTCTATTGAGCAAAGGCTCATATTTTGCATTATATAAATCTCACAAAATACCACTTAAACAACTATACTTAATTAGTATGACATCTGATTAGATCAAACAAAAATTCTTTTTACAGTTTTATGAATGGCAACAGGTGGATACTCAGGTTAACCGTCTCCTCTGCCCCCCGAGAGGAAGAGCATTTAATTGTTCTTTATGTCACAATATGTCGCTGACACAGGTAAATGAGCAAAGATACGCTATTTGTTGTAAATACTCCATAATTCCAGACCAGTTAAAGTGGGAGGTGAGTTTTAAAATCGCAAGGAAGATTTGATCGTCACTGAACCATTACCAACCAATAGAGTGTGGGACCAAAGCCAGACTCCCCTATATGTGCACGGGAGTGATCCTCAATATGAAAAAGAGTGTAGTTGTGACCGTCACAGATTTGACAACACTGTCCAGCTTCAACAAAATAGCCGATTTGATCGTCACTGAACCATTACCCACCAATCGAGTCTGGGACCAAAGCCAGACTCCTCAATATGTGCACGGGAGTGATCCTCAAATATGAAAAAGGGTGTAGTTGTGACCGTCAAAGATTTGACAACACTGTCCAGCTTCAACAAAATAGCGGCGCACGCAATACTAAGCTATGTTTAGCGTTGTGAACAAGCTGACGTTAGCCAAGACCCACGGCTGCTACATTGTTCATCGTAACTTTTACGTAATGTTACTACAACCCAGAGCTTCTAAAAAAAAATCCATTATTTGAGGAGGGCTGCTGTAACACTAAAATGTTACTGTTTTGAAGTTGTATTTTTCAGAATGTACAATCAAGTGAACATCAAAAAGAGTTGGTAAACGTACGTCAGGCAGAAATGTTGCGAATTTTGCATCGATTCTGAATCGTGTATGTCTGAAGTCCCTTCACTCTTATTCTGCTTGCTTGTCTTATGACCATTTGTCAGCAAACAAAGGATGGGCATTTCTTTTATTTTCCACATTCCAACAGTTTCAGCAAAGCTCCCGAAGCCGGGTGTGCGTCAAACCGTGTTCTTTGTTTGTTTGTTTTTGTTTTTTCCAAACAGCAACTCCCCTTTTAAAACTCATCCAAGGCCACTGGAAGCTATAAACGTCAAACATCCATTTTAAGTGGTCTGGCAGTGAATGAATTAAGCCACCTGGGAGCCGTTTTAAATTGTGAAAAAAAAGTCTCCTTTAAAACCTGCTTGCACCCCCTGCATACATCCTCCCGATTGATTTGACATACTAATTGAATTGGCCAACTGGCTCCATTAGTCCACTAAGATCACTTTCCTGCGTGTGCAGAAATCCATCCATTTATGCAACCTGACCCCCCTCTGCACCACAGTTAAGTTGCCGCCTTGTGTTGTGCGCTGCAGATGCTGTAAAGCGGGAGCGAGAAAGGAAGGCCAGTCATGGGGAATAAGAGGAGGAGAAAGGATGCCAGTTGAGCCCCTCGTCCTTTTACAGCAGGACCGCAGCCAGTGTCAGACTAAAGATAGAGGATGGCTCAGTCTTTGAGGAGGATGGACATCGCCATGGACCACAAGCCACAGAGGGACAAAGCCCGGACCAGCTACTTTGGCAATGTGAAGGCCAGGTTAGGATTACAGCGTGCCGCATGGAAATAAAAGCAAGCCATGCGACACATTTGGCTCGCTTTTGCCTTTCGGGTTTAAATATGCCACAATACAGCCTTTCATTCGTCTCTGTTGATGTGAGGAGAAGGGCACAGTGGTGCAAATAATCTGTTGTGTCAGATTATGGTATGAACAAGAATATTTTTAGCCCGGGAATGCAAAGACACGCACTACAAAAAAAAAACCTTTTCGGTGTATTTGTTCTTATTTGTTGTTACAAAGAAATTATGTCTTTGCACAATTTTCTTTAAGAGCCCCAGTTTTAACAAATCTCGAATGAAAACTGCCCAAAGACAGCTGGGATAGGCTCCAGCACGCCTGCGACCCTCGTCAGGATAATCGGATCAGATAATTGATGGAAGGATAAATCTTATGCTGATCTGCTGACATTTGACAGCAAGTAGTTTAGTTTGGAGTTCTTTTTCAAAGAAAAAAATGCACTCAACAGTTTCACACTACAACCAACTACACTTGAGTAACATTTGCTCTCCACATAACCTGCAAACACAGAAAATGTGAGCACAAAACAGGACTAATTGTCGTCTCTTCCTCACAACTGATTTTGACGGTAAGTTGGGAGGACTGCGATTAAAAAAAAAAAAAAAAAGAAACTATATATTTTTTTTCATACTGTCTGATCTAGATTCATATTCCAGTCTTTGTATATTGTTTTTAACCATGTGCTGCAGTCGATGTAAATAAGTTTATATAACGCAACATACAATTTTACAAAAATTGTAAAAGTGTTATTCCTGAATATTTATTTCACTTTCAACCACTCGACATGTTCAGTGGCATCAGTGCTATACATACACATATGGTTCTTATTGTTTTCTTTGTATTTTTGCCCTCTATGGACAATAAAAGCGGTATTGTGCTATGACCAAAACATAAATGTAAATCTATATAAATAAAACTTGAATTGGAATATTTCATATCACACAATTTTTATGCTTTGTCTTTGATTTAAAGATGACAATACGCAAAAATCTACAAAAATTGTAGAAATTGTAACATATGGGTTACACTGCCAGTTTAAAGCCTTTGTACTGAAAACTGAAGAAACTAGAGTACTTCAACATTTTATTTACATATAAACTACTGTAAATAAAAAAAAAACGAAGATGAACATAGAAAAATATTAAAACAATTTTACTCAACATTATAACACATTAGAAATATTTATTGACATTTATGGCAATAATGTCAGTTAGCACAACAAAGCAAGCTAGTGCTTTGCTCCAAAATAATTTTGGAGCAAAGAACTAAAAATAAACATTTTTAAGTAGTCTGGCCCAGTACACGAGACAGCCATTCTTATTTCTTTGTTTTGAAATGAGGTAAAGCCAACTTTCACAAAAGCAAAATGCCCGAGTTAAAATTTTATCACAGTTTATTGCCTTGAAATTTTGAAGACTGTACATTCAACTTTATTTACGCAGTGTACCAGCTATGAGACTTAACTTGTCTACAACTGGTGAAATAAATACTTTAGACCGGTGTCTCACAACCTTTGTTGAATCACTGCTATACAAAATAGAGAATCATGAAAAACACTTTGTTCGAACGTCTATATATGTCAAGTGTCGAAACAAGCATCAACGCGAGCTAAGCTATTCATACGTTCACATAAACAATAATTGTAATTTCTGAACAGAAAAATGAAACGTGTCCTTTCCCCATGTGTGTCTTCAGGCTGGGCTCGAAGCTGCCCTCGGGGGTCCCTCAGCCTCCTCACTTAGCCAAGCGGCCCTGGGACACTCAACCTCAGGCCCGAGGATTTGAGGAGCTTTCAGCCACCACTCACCATCATCATCATCATCATCACCAATATCAAACCTCCCCTGGCCGACCTCTGGACCACATCCCACACATCAGAAACCCGATACTGCGGCAGTATTACCTGCAAGGTACCTTACAACTGACTTATACTTGGACAGCCATTATTCCAAGTACCACTAGAGTGAGCCAGAGTAGTGGTACTAGTGCCGCACTTTAACAATCTGATCTGTTCTAAACTGAAATGTTCAACTTGATAGTTCACTGTCACATTATGTGATATTAAGGTCAAAATTGTCTGGGCATTTTTTAATTTTTATTAAAAGCATGACCTTTTGGTTTCCTCGCAGACTCCAACACTACTGTGAAGCAAGAGCAAATGGGACAATTGTCACATGAAGACAAAAGCACCACGGTCAGTCACACACTTGTATGGTTGATGATCGAACTGTATAAAGAAGTCAGGAAAAATGGTTTATTCAACTACTGTATAAGTTACGTCTTAAGTGGTTTGGAGACAAGAAAACGTTTACAATATCTCTTATTGATTACAAATGAGAAGTTGAAATTTTGAATCAGATTTTAGCAACAATCACGGAAGCTGACATGTTTGATTTGCTTTCATGGGCCGCATTAAAATGATGTGGCAGGCCAGATCTGGCCCCCGGGCCTTGAGTTTGACATCTCTGATCTAAAGCCTAAAAAAATGGAACACTGGGAAATGTTTTCTCAACTGTACAAAGTTTAGAAAACGTATGCTCTTCCTGACACGACAAATTTATGGCTGGGAAATGATAAAGGAACAGTGTCCAAGGTTCAATTCATCGACAAGCGCGTCGGTCGGTCATCATGGG